CACACACACACACACACACACTCACATTGCAAACAAATTATTAAATACGTTCATTATTAATTACATTTAAGGCACAATTCAAACTTCCGGTCATGATTGACATAAGAGAGAGAAAAGTAAAATTCTTGCAATTTTTTCTTGTTTTTTTTTTTCGTTGTGGAAATTTTTTTTGTTTAAAACAGGAAATTACAAAATTCAAAAAGTCTTTCTTACATTATTAATAATAATAATAATTATTTCCCATTGTTAATTTTAATATTTTCTTTTTCTTTTTAAACTGTCCTCGTTGCATTTATTAAACTCCTAAAAAAAAAAAAAAAATAAGAGAGACTAGATTTCAGACCCGTTTTGTTTTTAAGGACAGATTAAAAAATTTACGTTAAATTTAACGTTTTTTTTTTTTTTTTTTTTTTTTAAATCATGCCAATTTTGAATAAAATCTCTTGAAAGACATTTAAAGTCTTTTTTTTTTTATATTATATTTAAAATTATTTTTAAAATATTTAAAGTTTTCCATAATAAAAAAAATAAAAAAATAAAATGATTGGTTACTTTTTTCCCTTTTCAATACCACGCGAGTTTGTTATTTTCCTTTTTTTTATTAAAAATTTAACACAAATATTATTATTATCATTATTATTATTATTATTAAAGGTTTTTCTCGTTGAAACGATTGCAAGAATTTTTTCACGTTATTCTTTTAAAAAAAAACTAGTCAATGTTAAAATTTCTTTTTTCTTTTTCTTTCTTTTTTTTTCTATATTAATTTAAATAACAAATACTATATGCATTCATTCCTTTTCTCTCTCTCTCTCTTTCTTTCTCTCTCTTCATCAAACCTGTTTTTTTTTTTTTTTATCAGTTAATTTTATTTATGAATTGACTCATCAAGTAAAAAAAAAAAGAAAATAAAAAATATTCATGAGAATTAATTTTGTAAAAAAAAAAATTGATCCGTGATAAAATTCATTCCACGTTCCTTACTGGATAACTGAGTAAATGAATCTGAAAAAAGAAAAGAAAATAATAATAATATTAATAATTTATGTACATAATATCAAATTTTTGAGTTTGATAACGAACTTATTAAATATTTCTTTTTATTTATTTTTTTAAAAAATTACATAAAAAATAAAAATTTGTGTGTGTGTGTGTTTGAAACATTATCTTGTAACCTTGGTCCTTCCTTACTCCTGTCATCTTTTTGTTTTTCTCCAATAAAAATAACATCTGACGCGAAATAATAATAATAATAATAATAATAATAATAATAATAATAATAAAATACGGTGGGAATATTGGAATATTAACTCGACCATGAAAAATATCAATGAATGCAATAAGTTAATATAAAAGAGAAAGGAAAAGCGCACTCACAAACAACAACAACAACAAAAACAAAATTTCAGTACAAAACACATATTAATATTATTATTATTATTACGATTTTCATATATTTTGTATACTCTAATCACAAATTATTAACTGATAATAATAATACCTTTTTTTTTTAATATAATGCAAACGAACACAAATCAGAGAAGCCATTTTATGTTGAATTAAATAATAAAAGAAAGTTTGTCGACCTTAAAATTTTACAAAAAAAAAAAAAAAATTTATTAAATACCTACAACTCAGCTTTATGAATATAATTCTTTTTGAGTAATATAAAGCTTTAAAATAATAATAATAATAATAATAATAAAATATCGAGAATCAAATAAAATGTGAACACAACTAAAAGAAAACTCGGGGTATTGTTAATATGTTATTTTTTTTTTAGTGTGAAAAAATCGTTAAACGTTTTCCAAAAAAAAAATAATAATAATAATTATATTATTATTTGTGAATGTGAACGTGATAATGATGATGATGATAATGATGATTTTTAGAAGGGAAGTAATGAAAAAAAAAAAAAAAGTGTCAAGGTAACCACCATTTAATTTAAAAAAAAAAAAACTGTAAAAATTATTTTAAAATGTCCATCGTTTCATAACAATAATTTTTTTTATTTTAAATACAAAATTTACTATTAAGTCGTTAAAAAAATGAAAAAGAAAAGTGGAAAATTTCAACTGGAAAATCATTTTTCATTTAAACGAATTTCAAAAAAAAAAAAAAAAATTAACTCGTACGTAAAATAAAAACTAAAAATTTTTTTCAATGCGTGAAACGATAACCAATAATTTACACGTCTATCTATTACTAATATAACTATCGTACCTACAGGTTCACTAATTTTTTAAATAAAATTTATCGATCTCGAGTAATAATAATAATAATATAATTAATTATTATTAAAAAAAAATTATCGGTAATTTTTTTTTATATAAATAAAACTATTTTACAGTAAATTACAAGGAGCAAATAAAAAAAAAAATTACTACTTTGGTTAATTAAAAAATTAAATCTCGATGCATAATAATAATAATAATAATAATAATAATAATAATAATGATAATAATAATAATCTTATTTATTATTACTGTCGATTCCAGGAGTCGCAACAGTTAAAAAAAAAAAAAAATTTGCCGTAACGAATTGAATGGGGGGATAACACAGTAATAATCCAAAACAAATTGATTGAAATTTCATTTGCACCGCAATAATAATAATAATAATAATGAATTTTTTTTTATTTTCAGGATACGCCCCCGCCCGTACGGCATTTCAAAAAAAATTAAACAATATAATAATAATAATAATCATAATATTTATTTACTAAAAGAATCCAAAACGACGTTTTGTATTTATTTAAAATTATTATTATTATTATTATTATGATTATTATTATTATTATTATTATTATTATTATTATTATTAGTAATGGATCGTTGAAAACGTTTAATTTTTATAATTTGAATTGATTTTTTATTTACATCAAAGACATCAAATATCGAAAATCGATTATCGACGTAGGTTCATAATAATAATAATAATAATAATAATAATAATAATAATAATAATAATAATAATATGAACCCCACCACCATCATTAATTAAGTTTACAATTTCAAATTTTCTTTTTTTTTTTTTTTTTTTGTTTTCTAGAAAACATCCGACAGTAATTTTATTACCTATATTATCATCATCACCATCATCATCATTATTACTATTATATTAACAAAAAAAAAAATTTATTTTAATTACCGGTGGTAATAATAAACTTTTTATTATTTCAATTAACGGGTAGTAGTAGTAATAATAATAATAATAATATTTATTTAGGTCGTTAATTTTTTTTTTTTTTTTTTTTTTATAATCAAAACGTTTATTTGAAACTAAATATTGTTGTTGTTGTTGTTATTATTATCATTATTATTAGTATTTCATATCAGACTATATTTTTTTTTCGAATTAAAAAAAAAAAAAAAAAAATTGATGAGTGCGGGGAGCAACTGAGGTAATAAAAATTGTTTAATTTTTTTATAGAGTTTATCGATGCAAAGAGAGAGAGAGAGCGCGGGGGGGGGAGAAGGGGGAAAGAGAGAGAGAGAGAGAGAGAGGGAAAACACGTGATAAAAAATATGTGTTAATGGTAAAATAATAAAAAAAATGAGATGAAAGAAAATTATTTAATAGGCCGAAATACATAATTCACCATACATCACACAAATACATTTTAAACCAAGTTGGGATACTATATGAGACCATGCATGGGCAGGATGGGAGGTAGGAGAACACAACAAAAGAGAAGCCGAATAGCCTTGAAAATATTTTACATAGAGACAGGTTCCCTTAAGGCTAAATCATGACTATTAAGTTTTTTTTATTTAAAAAAAAAAAAAAAAGAAAAACCTCCTATATATATCGACCTAGAGACATAAAAAAATGGGGAGGGGTGGGGAGGGAGTTTAACGAGTTGTGCCGAATTGATATGATGTTGCATACAACAGATTCACCTATATTTGATTTTGTCACACATTAACTCCTCCACCTTTTGCGGATTAAATTGACCCCACGAAAAACAGGTACCGTAATTCTAAAAAAAGGATACCTATCGTAACAGTAAAAACATTAACGCAAAATTATTTAATCGGTAAAATTTTACGAAAATAAATAAAAACAACTCCAACCCTCCACACTCCACCCCAACCCCCACAACAACAAATTAAAGAAATTTTCTTAATTCGATAAAATAAATTTTCTTTCTTTCCTTTTTTTTTTCTTCAGTGAAATGAAAAAAAAAAGGGGGGAAGAGGGAAAATGAAAAAGGTCACATTATACTCCAAGGGGAAAAGAATAAAAAAAAAAAAAAAATTCCAGAAGAAAATTTATGGAACGTACGAAATTCTAGAGAGGGTGGGTGGGTAGGGTTGTTTGATGGTTTTTATTCTCAAGAATAGAAAAATTTCAAACTCACGGTCGAGGGGTCGTACCTTAAAAATGACGCAAAAAACGGGGATTCGATAATACCTTGTCGTCATTACATTTAATAAATAATAATTCTGAACAAAATTTATGGATCGACCATAAAAAAAAAAAAAAAAATAAATAAAAACAAAAGTGATTTAAAAAAAAAATTAATAACATTTCAATAAACATGATCCATTATTTTCATACATAAAAAAAAAAAGTAGCAATAAGGTATTTAAAACCAGAACTATGAAATGATAATAATAATAATAATAACGAGAAAATAGTTTTAAAATTTCTCTCTCTAATATCAAAACAAGATCAGAACAATTTTTTTTTTAATTACTTTCCAGTAAAAAAAAAAAAACGAGGAGAAATTTTCTTTTTTTCTTTTTCCACAAAAGATTGCTCAAGTGGTTTATTATTTAAATGAAAATAAAATTTTTTTTATGCTTTGCTGGAAGTGCGGGTGCGTGTGTGTGTGTGTGTGTGTGCGCGTGTGACGGTGTAAAAAATTATTGTGGAAAATGGCTTTTTGGGGGGAAAGAGCAAACATTTATTTCGTACCTTGGTATTTCGTAGTCGTAGCATGTCGTTAAATTTAGGTACCGAGGCTTTTCATCATCACCTCGGAACTCGTCGTTTCATCTGACGTGCCACAATCCAAGATTCAAGGTAGTCAATTGTGGTAACTTCATGATTCTTTCCAGTCCAACGGTAGTGATTTTCGAACAACCGTATAAATCAATGCATCTCAAATGTTTTAAAGAATCCACTATCGTGTGCACTCCTCTGTCGGTTATCTTCCAACACTGCCCGATGTTTAAAGTTTCCAAATCGTGTAGGGTGATTGCTATGCGGACTATTCCGTCGTCGGATATGTTGCAAGCGTTTAATGATAAACTTTTCAAATGAAATAATCCCTGTGATACGTGTAAAAGAGCTTGATCTCCGATTTTATCACAGAATGACACGTCTAAAGATGAGATCCGGGAACCGCCTTCGGCGAGATACGCCATTCCCAAGTCGGATATGTTGTCGCAAGCCCTTAAATTTAATTCTCTGAGAGACGTCATTTTGGCAAGGTATTTGAGTCCGCTGTCCGTTATGCTCACGCAAAAGCTCAGGTTTATACTTTTGAGTCCGGTGAGTCCAACGGATACGTGACGAAGAGCTTCATCCGACAACCTTTGGCAGTCTTGTAATCCTAAATATTCCAAAGCGGGATTTCCGTCTCCAACGTCGGGATTGGGTCCCGCCAGGTGACTAATACCTTGGTCGCTTATGTGCCAGCACGATCGGAGATTTAAACGTTTGAGTTTTTTAAGTCCCCAACCGACGAGTAAAAGGCCGGTATTTGTTACGTTACAACATCCCCCCAATTCTAAAACTTCTAAATTAGTTAAATATTGAGCGATCCTTCCTAAACTCGTATCGGTTACTTGTTTACACAAGGATAAATTCAGTTCCGTGAGGGTGGGCAACGTCGTCACGAAAGCATGAGAGAGACCGATGTCCGTAACGTTATAACAACCGCTCAGGTTTAATGAATCCAAATTGGGTATACCCTGAACAACATCTCGCAAACTTCTTTTCAACGAAAGGACTTGAACTCTACGTATCCCTCTTCGTACGAGAGAAGAAAAAAGCGATGGATTGGCACGTCTCAAATGAAGTTTGGCTTCGACTCCCCGCCAAACGGATTTGTGATAAGCGGCATCTCTCCACGCAACGCATACTTGAGCTGCCCTTCCCTTATCTCTAACGTCTAAATAACTGAATATCAAAGCTAATATTTCTGGATAAAGGCAACTGACGTGAGTTTGAGATTCTTGATATATGGCCGTCGGATGATAGTCGGATTCTATATCGAATTGAGGACGATGTAAACGTCTTGTTACCAACGACAATGGAATTTCTGTATATATTTGACTTTCATCCATAACTTTTACGTTCGACTAACATAGCTGATTATTACGAAATATATATATATATAAAAAAAAAAAAAACAAGAAGAAAAAGAAAATCGAAACAAAAACAAAATCGATGTACGAAAATATTATTATAACGACACTACATCACTTAACTTTGGTCTCACGAGTACTGAATGCAATTTCGTGAGCTCGTGGTTGTGGCGCTGCGATCGCTTGACAGCGTTGCACTTAAACATTTTTCTGATAACGAAACATGATTGGTTAATACGTTTCGTAACTTATTCTAACATTCTTCGGGTATTGATTGTCTTTAGTTTTCTACCCGCGAAAATCACAAAATTTTTTTTATTTATTATTCGGATTATTTATTTATTTTAATATATTATTATCATTATTAATTTTATAAATAATTGTTTTCGTATTCTATATATACATTTATTAAATTTATATATATATATATATATATATATATATATATATATATTGAATTATTTTAACTTGTCATCATGCCTTATCTATTTTACTTTCAGTCAGGTTTTTTTTATCTATGAACTTTGCTTATCTTATCTAATTTTCTGTTATTTAACTTATTATAAATAATAATAATAATAATAAAGTGTAATCAACACAAAATGGAATTTCCAATGCTAAAATTTATTTTTTTTAAAAAGTTAATTGTGTGATATTAAATCTATGATGTTATATATATTTATATTGTTAAATTTTATCATTTGTTAAGAGAATATATATATATAATAGTAAAAGTAACATTTAAATTTTATAACCAATAATTTTACTTATGTAATAATAACCATTATCATATTTAACAGTTAAGCCAACTTTTGAAAATTAAAATTATGTTTTTGAATTCTTTCGATACATTTGAAATTTAAATACGTATTCCACATATATGCATGCATAATTTTTACTTATTTAATAAATTTTTTATGAAAAAAAAAAAAAAAAAAAATTTATGAAGTGTGTTTTCAACATGGTTCGAACGATTTTAAATAGTTTTTATTTGGACTTTATTTTTTTTGAACGTCAGTGCCATCTATTAGCGATTTTACGTAACTAAAAGCTTGTTAGTTCAATATTTTGCCGCAAATGCTATTAACGTTTAATTACGTGATATGTACTGTTTTCAATGATAATTTGTTTTTAATTAAATGAATTTTTTTCTTGTAAATAAATAAAGTGAGTATTATTATTATTATTATTATTATTATTATTATTATTATTAATAAATAATTACCACTTCACTTATCTGAATGATATGTGATTATAAGTTATTTAATAATGTACCCACCAGATGACTTTTTGCCAAGTTTATAAGAGTTAATCGAGTTCGTTATCATTTAATAAGTGAATTAAATTATCTCAGGATAAGAACTTGACAAAAATAAAAATGTTTGAAAAAACAATTTTTTTTTTAATATGGAGTTCGTTAACATTTTTCATAGCCGTTCGTAGTGAAATAATTGAAGTTGATGTCGGTACTCCAGTTGTCGTCACGACATGGAAATTTATGGAAGCTGCAAAAGAAGCTTGGGACGTGTTAGACAATGGAGGATCGGCTCTCGATGCAGTCGAAGCCGGATGTTCCTCTTGCGAGTACCTCCAATGCGATTTTACTGTCGGATACGGAGGAAGTCCTGATGAAAATGGGGAAACCACACTCGATTCAATGATCATGGACGGAGACACGATGAACGTTGGAGCCGTTGCCGGTTTAAAAAGAGTAAAAAATGCCATAGGAGTAGCCAAAAAAGTACTCGAAACTACCAAGCACAGTTTGCTGGTAGGCGAAGCTGCCACGAATTTCGCCGTGAACATGAATTTTCCAGAAGAAAATTTACAAACTGAATATTCAAAACAATTACACGAAGATTGGTTAAAAAATAATTGTCAACCAAATTACAGGCTTAATGTTTCACCGGATCCGACAAAAAGTTGTGGACCCTACACGCCTCGCATGTCGGTATCTTCGGTGAACAGATATAATGCAACAATAGATGGCCACGATACGATTGGAGTGATAGCCGTAGATTCGAGACTCAAAGTCGCATCTGGTACTTCTACAAACGGTGCTAAATTTAAAGTACCTGGTCGAGTTGGCGACAGCCCAATTCCAGGTTCCGGATCGTATGCCGATTCCGAAATCGGAGCAGCGGCAGCCACTGGAGATGGTGACATAATGATGAGATTTCTTCCATCATTTTACGTCGTAGAAGAAATGAAAAAAGGAGTACTTCCTGAAGATGCTGCACAAAAAGCAATCGACAGAATCGCTAAAAAATATCCAAAATTTTTCGGAGCCGTCATTGCCGTAAGAAAAGATGGCGCCTTTGGAGCTGCTTGCCACGGTATGGAATCATTTCCTTTCGTCGTAGGTACCCCTAAATCAAAGCAAGTTGTATTGTATCATAAAAAATGTTAAAATGACGACATGAATAAAAAAATTTTTTTTTTAATCGATCAAATAAATAAATAAGCCAAAAGTTAACATAATTTTTTTGCATCCCTTAATTAAAAAAATCTAATAATAATAATAATAATAATAATAATTAAAGTCACCAGAACTTCAACTTCCCTTAGAAAAAAAAAAAAAATTTTGTTTAAAAGTTATCATGAAATTCAAACAAAAATTCAAATAATAGTTTTGACTTTATATCGTAAAAGGTTATGACATGGCCAAATGGTTTAGACATTCGAGTTCAAAAGGTCGGAAAATTTGCAAGGAAAGCTTATTTAAGTTTTTTTTTTTTTTCCTTTTTTCCCCGTCTACCATTTTGGGTAATCAAAAGCTTTTTTTGAATTCTTTGATGTTGAACGATGCGTAAAAATTTAATACATAATTTGTTATTTGTTTTGTATAAAAGGGAGAAAGAAATAAAAAAGGAAAAATATAAAAGGATTCGAGAAAATAATAATAATAATAATAATAATGATAACAAAATGGACTGAAAATTCCTTTTATTATTAATTTCTTTCATCTTTTTGTAATAAATGATCATTTTCTTTCTTTCTTTATTTCTTTCTCATTATTTTTATTAAGTTTTTTTTTTTTTAAACTCTTTGAGGTCAGTAACAGCAACAGCAGCAGGAGCAGGAGCAGGAGAAGGAGGAGGAGGAGGAGGGGGGGAAAGGAGGAGTAACAAAAGGAGAAATAATAATAATATAATTCAATTAAAAATTATCTAAAAAATCACGTGAATGATAATTGAAAATCAATTCAATCATTCAATCATTCATGCATTAAGTGTAGCGTTATCAGTAATTTTTATTTAATAACTTATTTATTTTATTGATAAGATTTGATTGTTAATTAATAAAAAAACAAACAGACAAACAAACAAACATTTAAGGTTTTTTTTTTTTTAAGAAAGTAATTGTTTAGGCTTTCACCCTTAAGTTATTTATTTTAGAACAAAAAAATATTTATAAAAGGTCAATGACCTCAAACCAATAATAAGAAAATCATCAAATGGTTATCGGTAACAGAACCGGTATTAATGACGGTAAATCATTTCACGGTAGCACCTTTTTCCAATACTACTAGGACGACGAGGAGGAATAGTTGAAAAAACCATTCAAAGACTAGATATTCAAAAAGGTAATCAAAAAACTAAAAAAAAAAACTAATTAATTAATATTGTTGTAACCAATGAGAATCGAGAAAGAGGTTAATGAATTACATAAGCCAATGAGAGAAAGATGGTCTGTGCTGGAGGAACGCATGAGCCAAACGAGAGCTGGAATCGAGCTCCAGTCTTGTTTATGACGCTGGTTCCAACACTTTTATTTAACTATATACAAACAAAACAAAAAAAAAGTTTTTTTCTTTAAATGTTTTTTATTTATTTATTTAAAGTGATTTATTTATTATTATTATTATTATTATTTAAAATATATATAAATTAAAATTTATTTAAAGTGTTAAAATGACAATAAATAATTATATTAAATTTAATTGGAATTCAATTGAAAAAAATGATGTTATTAATTTATTAATTAAATTAATAGGTTGAAACCTTTTTTATTTTGCTAAAAAAATTATTATCAGGTAAATAAATAATTGTTTATATATATATAAATAATTAAATACATTTTTTTTTTAATAATATTTTTTTGTTAATAATTTTTTTAAGGTACTTTTTTTTTTTTTTTAAATAGAAAAACTATAATTTATGTGAAAATCCCTTTAAGGTACACAAAAACAAAAAATTTAATTTTTACTTTATATTAGTTTTTAAAAGCCGTTAAATTTCGAAAGAAAGAAAGAAAAACGGTTAATTTTCGCGAGAGAGAGAGAGAGAGGGAAACATTTCAACGGTTATAAAATTTTTTCGTGTGAATTTTTTTTTTTTTTGGTTAAAAATAATAAAAATGGAGTAAAGTTTAATAAAAAAAAATAGTATCGGATATTTAAGAATAAATATAAATGATCGGCGGTTAGAAAGTCGTCAGTGACACGCACACACACGCGCGTGCCTACGATACCTATTTGGTTTAATTTTTTTTTTTTTTTTTTATTTCTATATAATCAAAATGAGCCCGAATAGGAGAGGAGGTGGGGAAGGAAGGGGAGGGGGGGGAATTCAAGGAAGTTTAACTTGTTTGAGTATCATCCCGAATCCCCATTTTTTTTTTTCTATATCCATTATGAACCTTGTTATTTATTATACCTGAACCTCTCTCTACCTTCGATTTACTTATCATTTATACCTTTGATTTTTCCCTTTACATCTTATAATCACTCGGTGGTTTTTTTCTTTTTTTTTTTTTTGGAATTTAACGAACTTGTTGGTCGTCGTCGGTCGTTTCATTTCAGGTACACACGGTCAATTACAACAAACCGTCAAATTTGTGTGTGAAAGGATACAATTTTTTTTCGTTTTTATAATGCGTGAATTTTGACGTGGAAAAAAAAAAAATAGGGTAAAACCTTATTTCGGTTCTGGTTTATTTTTGTAAAAACGTGTTCGTATTTTTCGAAAGAGGTTACCAATAGGGTACACACAATAGAAAAAAAGGAAAAGGAGGGTGATTGATGAAGTAAAAAGAGTTGGTTTCAGTCAACCGGTTCTAATTGGACCGATTTGCGATGAACCATTTCGAAAGGAAAACCTTCCGAAAGAAGAAGAATTTTCGAGCGGTAAATTTATAAAAAAAAAAAAAAAAAAAAAAGTATTATTCTAATAAACTTTTGTTCTCTTCGTAATAAATCCTTAAGTAATAATAATAATAATAATAATGGATGTGTATCATCGATATTGTGCAGGATTTTTTTTTACCACCTGGTGCGGGAGTAAGGAAGGACGTAAGGTACAAAACAACTTTTTTTTTTTTTTTCCCTTTACTTATGTGATTGTCTGAACTGCATAACTTTGGGTACCATTTGGCGAAACAGGTTTTTTTTTTGTAACTGCAGGTGGGCATCATTAGACTTTAAAAGCTTCATATATTTCTCTTATATAAAAAAAAAAAAACCTTAAAACCTGATTATTAATCATTTCACAGAGGGAAAATTTTAAAATTTATTTCTCTTTATTCAGTTCAAAAAAAAAAAAAAAAATCACATCTCAATCAATAATTTAAACAATTGATCAATTTTTTTTTTTTAATAAATTCAAAATATTTTATTTTTGTAAAAGTCATGGTTCCATTGTAATACCTGAATTATTAAACCTGTAATAAAGAAAGAAAGAAAGAAAGAAATTATAAGTGTTGAATCGGTTAAGACTGTAGTGAGTGAGTGAGTGACCTTGTGGTTTTCTTTAGAAAGGTTCTACAATGGCTTCCCACTGTTTTCCACATGTATATATATTTAAAATCTTTTTTATTTTAATTATTATTAAAAAATTTAACTTTATCGTCGACATTTACAACAGCAGCAACAGCACAAACAATTTTTAACAAAAAATAATTTTCCAAATGTTTTCAAATCCAATAATTTTCATCCTTTAACCTTTCAGATACTCGGATGAGTATTAGAGAGAGAGAGAGAGAGAGGTGTAAAATAAATACGAGAAATCGTAAATTTGACCTTTAAATTTAAAATTAATTTGTATAAGATTTTTATGGGGATCCATCTTGATAAGGAGTCTAATAAAATTGTTGTGTTGTTAAATTTTTTAAATGATTAAACAAAATCAATAAAATTCTTTTTGACCGTTTTTCCTTCATGTTTAGTTCTTTTAGATAAAGATCGTAAAAACTTAAATTAACTCTCATAATTATGATAATTCATTTACAATCTCCTCCCCCCCCTCTCTCTCTTCAATAATTTTCAAATGATTGATTGATGACCTACTATCACAATTGCGAATTAACGGGAAGGGGGGAGAAAGATAAAAGGGAAATATTATTTTTAAAGAAAAAGGAATCATGTTGGCATTAACAACATCCGGTATGTGTGTGTGTGCGTGTGTGCAACCGTCAAAAACTGACCAAATCACGATCGATAATTTATTGGTAAAGGTATATAACTTGCCTCGGGGTTCTAAAATAATAAAAGAATATGTGTGTATGTGCGTACATATATATTTTTTTTCTTTTATGGATGGTAAAAAATAAGTGTAGCTACCTGATTCGATCTCGTCAGAATCGGATTGGTTCAATTTTTTTTTTTTTTTTTTAAATAATCGCCATTTAAAATTTAAAAAGATATGGCGGGTTTCTATAGATATCGTATCAACATTGTTGGGGCTTCTTAAAAACTTTTAAGGTTTTCACCCATCCGTAGTTTAAAAAAAATCAATTTTTTTTTTTGTGGAATATGAAACGCGAATAAAATTTTTTTAATAAAAAAATGGCGAGAGAGAGAGAGAGAGAGAGAGAAGCAATTTAAAAAACTTGTAAAAATATAAACAGAGCTAATTAGCGGACAATGTGAAGGTTATCAAAAGAAAATCTTAAACGAGTAAGAAAAATCGGAAGAATGTTGAAAAAAAAAAACCAGATGAACCTGAATACCTGATTAATCACTGCCACCCTCACTCATCAAGAACAAAGGAGGCATCGGTCGGTTCTCTCTCTCTCTCTCTCTCAAGTTCATCGACAAATAGTCGGAATGTTAAGAAAAAAAAAAGCAAAATTAAATAATAGCACCCCCCGGTTGGTTGGTTTTCGTCATTGAACACAAGTTGATTGTATTTTTTTTTTTTTAAATAGTAAAAACTATAAATAAAATGTTCTCATACCTGATCAGGTAGGACCAAGAACCGTATTTTATATAATTCGCTTTCTTTTGTTGTTGGCTTTAGTTTATTGCTTCACTTGTCCTCACTTAACCGTATTACTTTCCACCTTTTTTTTTTATTCCTATTGTTTTTCTTTTTTTTTTGTGTCGCCGATTTCAAATTAATTTACGACATTTTGTTTTTTTTTTATTAAACTCATACTCTTTTATAATATAATAAAAAAAATATAATAATA